ATGATAAGAAAGTGAAACAGGCTTATTGCTGATAGGAAGAAAGTTTGAGTGGTCTGCATAGAAGATCAAACCAGCTGTAATATTTCCTTAAACCAAAGCCTAATCCAAGCAAGGCCTTAACTCTCTTCAATTCTGTGAAGGCTGGGAGAGGTGAGGAAGCTGCAGAAGAAAAGTTTGAAACTAGCAGAGGTTGGTTCATGAACCAACCAAACTTTGAAACTAGCAGAGGTTTAAGAAAAGAAGTTATCCCTATAACATTAAAGTGCAAGATAAGCAGCAAGTGCTAATGTAGAAACAAGTTATCCAGAAGATCTAGCTAGGACCATTGATGAAGGTGGCTACACTAAACAACAGATTTTCAGCATAGACAAAATACCTTTCTATTGGAAGAAGATACTGTCTAGGACTTTCATAGATAGAGAGGAGCTGTCAGTGCTTGACTTTAAAGCTTCAAAGGACTCTCTTGTTAGGGACTAATGCAACTGATGACTTTAAGTTGAAGCCAGTGCTCATTTATCATTCCAGAAATCCTAGGGCCCTTAAGAATTATGCTAAATCTACTCTGCCTATGTTCTATAAATGGAACACAAAGCCTGGATGACAGTATTATCTGTTTAGAACATGATTTACTGAATATTTTTAGCCCACTGTTGGGACTCACTGCTCAGAAAAAAAGATTCCTTTCAAAATGTTACTGCTCATTGACAATGCACCTGATCACTCAAGAGCTCTGATAGAAAGGTACAAGAAGATTAATGTTTTTATGCTTATGAACACAACATCCATTCTGCAGCCTATGGATCAAGAAATAATTTGACTTTCAAATCTTATTATTTAAGAAATATATTTTGTAAGGCTATGGCTGCTACAGATAGTGATTCCTCAATGGATCTGGGCAAAGTAAATTGAAAACCTTCTAGAAAGGATTCACCATTCTAGATACCATTAAGAACACTCATGACTCGTGGAAGGAGGTCAAAATATCAGCATTAACAGGAATTTGATAGAAGTTGATTCCAATCCTCATGAATAACTTTGAGAGTCTCAAAACTTCAGTGGAGGAAATAACTGCAGATGTGCTAAAAATAGCAAGAGAACTACAATTTTTAATAGAATTAGAGCATGAAGAAAGACATGACTAAATTGCTGTAATCTCATCATAAAAGTTGAACAAATGAGGAATTGCTTCTTATGGATGAGCAAATAAAGTGGTTTCTTGAGATGGAATCTTCTCCTGCTAAAGATGCTGTGAACATTATTGAAATGACAATAAAGAATTTAGAATATTACATAAACTTAGTTGATAAAGCAGCAGCAGGATTTGAGAAGATTAATTCCAATTTTCAAAGAAGTTCTACTGTGGGTAAACTGCTATCAAAGAGCATGATACTCTACGGAGAAATCTTTAGTGAAAGGAAGAGTCTATCAATGCAACAAACTTTACTGTTGTCTGTACCCCAACCAGGGTATTGTCTGTACCCTGATCAGCAGCCTTCACCACCAAGGCAAGACCCTCCAGCAAGGAAAAGATTGTGACTTGCTGAAGGCTGAGATGATTGTTAGCATTTTTTTAGCAATAAAGTATTTTTAATTAAGGTATGTATATTGTTTTTTAGACATAATGATATTGCACACTTAATAGACTATAGTACAGTGTAAACATAATTTTATATGCACTGGGAAACTAAAAACTTTGTGTGACTTGCTTTATTGAGATTGTCTGGAACCCAAACCAAAATATCTCCAAGATATGCTTGTTTAGTAGTCCCCCCTTATCCACGGTTTCACTTTCTGCTGTTTCAGTTACCTGTGGTCAACCCTAGACTGAAAATATTAAATGGAAAATTTCAGAAATAAACAATTCATAAGTTTCAAATTCATGCCATTCTAAGCAGGTGAATGAAATCTCACGCTGAGCCGCTCCTTCCCACCCACAATGTGAATCATCCCTTTGTCCAGCGTATCCACATTGAATATGCTACCCAATAGCCACCTCATCGCCTTCTAGCTCATCATCTACATCATCACAGGAAGGGTGAGTACAGCACAATAAGATATTTTGAGAGAGATAGAGAGCTAATATTCATGTTACTTTTATTACAGTGTACTGTTACAATTTTTTAAATTTTATTAGTAGTTATTGTTAGTATCTTACTGTGTTTAATTTATAAATTAAACTTTGACATAGGTATGTTTATATAGAAAAAAACATAGTCTTATAAAGTTTGGTACCTATCTGTGGTTTCAGGCATCCACTGAGAATTTTGGATTAGTAGTCCCTCCTAGGCCCTCATGGATTAGGAGGAACTACGATATTTGAAATATCCAGTTTTCCCCCAAAAAAGGTTATTTTTCACAATGTTAGTCAATATTATCATGCTTAGATTTATCATTTTTTTACTTAAAATCCAGCAATTTTTGAACTAATGGATAACTATATATCTTTTATTGGCTTTAGAAAACTGAGATTTGGAGACATTTACTTCACTTGATTTATCTTATATAGACATCTTTGACATTTCCTTCAATTGAGACCAAACCAATGATTAAAGGACTCAAAGCATTCAATTCACTTTAGTTGAATTCAATGGGAGATACTGGGGTCAATGGTTAATATATTATCTTTCTGTTTTAGCTGCCTGGTGTTTAGAAACTTGGCTCAAGAGTCAAATACACCTGGCCACAAATCTCACATCTTCAACTTCCTAGCTGTGTACACATTGGTAAGTTACTTAATGCCTATATCCTCCAAATTCATGTATGAGGACTAAATAAAGCAATCCAGAAATAGACTTAGCAAAGTGCTCAGGACTAAGTAAGGGCTCAAGAATATCGATAGTCATTAATACATTTATTTTTGTGAGTTTTGATAAAAGCCTTTCTCCCAAATGAGGTAAATTACTACCTATTTTAGTTATCAGTATAGCTATAGCATGTAACATAGTGTTTGGCATACAATAGAAGCACAATAAATATTTCCTTGCTATGGAAATATTTATTATTTGACATAATATAATTATTTATTATAAAATAAATATTTAGTTATTATAAAATAAATATAATTATTTATTGATAGAAATATTTTCAGTAATTTCCACTTCAAAGATGATAATATTAACTTCTCTCACGTAAGGCCATATCAACATTTTATCAGAAGAACCCTTTTAAAATCATTTAGAATATAACTTTCTATCAAAAGCTTTTATTATCAGGTTATCTATACAACTATAATTCATTTAAACTGGCTAAAATTGCTTAGTGTTTGCTAATAACATTGCTAATATTTATACTCAAAATAGCATGAGAAAGATTCCCCTCTTGGTGGTGTACAAAACAGACCTGTCTTTCCTGTTTATGATAGTAATTGCTGATATCTATAATATGGTTTACCATATGCAAGGCACTTTACAAATGTATATAATGGTGTGTGAAGATGTCAAAATGTCTGCGATAGATACTGACATTGAGGTGCAAATGGAGATGTGGCTCCTTCATTCTCATCTGACTCTCCTGGATCTCAGTTTTACACTACATGGCTGGAAAAAAAATCGCTAGTTATAGTAGGAGCTAGTAACCACATAGAGCAGTAACTGGCAGGGTTATGAAGCTCTTTATATACTTGGAGAGACAAAACTTCACATCAACCCTCTGAGGTAATAAAATTGTTCTTTAACAAGATGATAAATAGAATCCTGAGCCAAGGCCTTCTGACTCAAGCACCACATTCCATAAACAGAATATAAGAAGCATCTTTATTAATTTAAACTCTTGAGAAATGTCCTGTCACATAATAGGTCATGAATTTATCTTTGAGTATTTTAAATTATATGATTTTAATGACTGTGACACATTCAAATGTGACACACACTAAATCTTTTTCTTCTTCAATTACACAATGCAATTAAGGGAATCTTTATTTCCAGGAAGTACTGAAAAGATTTTGAGATTTTTCTTGTACATGGAAACATTTTTATAAAGTCTACATCTATGACTTTTGGATTGACTCGTCAGTCTGAAATATGAAAAACTGATTTACCTGGATTTTTTCTAATAATCAGCTCTTTCTTGGGGTGAGGGAGCATTTTTTTAAAGCAACATGATAGTGTTCTCTGTCAATGTATTAAAATTTCTAAATCAAACTTATTTTTATAATTTATATCATTTTAAAATTTGATGTATGAAGAACTAAAGGTCTGCCTCATAGATGTATCCAGTTAAAAAGTATAATTATAAATGTAATTCATAAAAGAAATTATTAAAATAAAATTCTCTGAAAACTTTGCATAATTGTGTCTTTTGTAAAATTACAATTTTATAAAATAGGTAAGCATACATTTGTAGGCAGGGAAAATAAATAAGAACTTCATATAAAAAATAAAGTGGAACTGGGGATTTCATCATTTATAAAAGAATGTATATGTTGTTACAGATTCAATTGTTGAATAAAAATGGAAAAGTCATGCCTTTTATTCCAGTGAGTAAAATGAAATTAACCATCACTCCTGTTTTCACTGTTATGTTAAAAGTTACCTTTGGGTTCTATTGATAGACTTTTCTATGATTCATGACATGTTAGCTCAGTGATAAAAGTAATGTTTTCCCACATGTGAAAAGCTAAGACGCATCAAAAAATTAACCTCACTGCTAATAACTTCAAATTTAAACAATATTAGATATCACTTTGGACCAAACAATTGCCAGTGATTTGGGGGAAAACATGCTGGTTAGAGTGCAGTAAAACAAGTACTTCCATAATCTATCAAGACTTTAAAATATAGGAAATATCCTTAATAACCAACTACAGAGAAATGTCCAGATAAATGATATATAATAAATATCAAATTATATATAATATAACCATAGCTATAGGAATATTATACAGACATTAATGATAATTTTTGTAGAATTTTAAAACCAAAGCAAGTTCTCACACTATAATATTTAATGAAAGAAAATCTAGAATATAAAATTTTAAACACATGATGATATAGGTTGTGTTAAATTACATGTACTCATGAGGAAAGACAGAAATCAATAGTGCAATAGTGATTGCTTCTGGAGTATGAACAATCTTTCCCTACTATTTTTATATGTATGTTTGTATTCTCCAAATATTCTACAATGATCTGTACTTTGGTATTCAAAAAGAAATAAAAGACACCAATAAGAAGAGATATTCTTCCCAAAATATATGATCTATGTCTCCATAGAATACTGAAATGGTATGTAACTATTTTGCATAATTCCTTGATATTACCCTCGTCTGTGTGTTCTTTAGCCTGCTTCATTAAGAGCACATTATGTTCCTATCACTTCCCTGCAGGCATGTCCCGATGATCTGCTGTCATGACCAATCAGAGCTGCCAGGAACAGTTCATCTTACTGGGTTTCTCAGACAGACCCAGGCTGGAGCATATCCTCTTTGTGTTTGTCCTCATCTTCTACCTTGTGACTTTAGTGGGCAACATCGTCATTATCTTGGTCTCCCACCTGGACCCCTGTCTCCACACGCCCATGTACTTCTTCCTCACTAACCTGTCCTTCCTAGACCTCTGCTTCACCACCAGTTCCATCCCCCAGCTACTTTTCAACCTAGGCGGCCTGGATAAGACCATCAGCCACATGGGCTGTGCCATCCAGCTCTTCATGTTCCTGGGGCTGGGTGGCACGGAATGTGTTCTCTTGGCAGTCATGGCTTACGACCGCTTCACGGCAATCTGCAAGCCCCTTCACTATTCTGTCATTATGCACCCTCGGCTCTGCTGGCAATTGGTGTCTGTGGCCTGGGGGATTGGACTCCTCAACTCCCTAGTTATGTCTCCAGTGACAATGAAGCTGCCACGATGTGGGAGATGTAAGGTAAAACATTTCCTATGTGAGATGCCAGCTCTGATAAAAATTGCCTGTGTGGACACAGTGGCTGTAGAGAGCACTGTTTTCATCTTGTCAGTGATAATTGTCTTGGTGCCCCTGTCTCTTATCCTCATCTCGTACAGCTACATTGCTCTAGCGGTACTGAGAATCAAGTCGGCAGCAGGAAGAAGGAAGGCTTTCAACACGTGTGGGTCCCACCTCACTGTAGTCTCCTTGTTTTACGGGAATATAATCTATATGTATATGCAACCAGGAAATAATTCTTCTCAGGACCAAGGGAAATTCCTTACCCTCTTCTACAACTTGGTGACTCCTATGTTAAACCCTGTCATCTACACACTGAGAAACAAGGATGTGAAGGGTGCGCTGAAGAGGCTTGTGTCTAGAAAGCAAGGTGACAGTCACTTTTTCTAAGGTTGCTTCTTTTACTTATTTAATAGAATGACATAATTCTTGAAGTGAAATTTTCAAATACATCTAAATATTCCTACCTATCCAGTAAAAACCTCCAGGGCTGGAGCTTGAGACGATGTATTATAAAGTTCCAAGTATGATGGAGATGATTAGGTAAATTATAAGTAAAATTTAATTTTTATAGCATCTTGTATTGACACATCAAATCATCTTTTCTTCTCCTTTCCAAGTTAGCCACATCCAATTAAAACCCAACAGCTGTAAAAAAAAAAAAAAAAAAAAAAAAAAAACCAACAAAACCATAAGTAACTGCTTCAGTACTGTGGATTAACTGACAGAAGTTCTGCCTTAGCAAAAAATCATATGATAATCTTCTTTTTCATTGGTAGTTTGTATGATTATTATTTTTTCATGGAATTGAGCCAATGGAGTACCAAAATACTTATACTAATTTTATCTTTGACATCTGTAAATTTCATTATGTAGAAAAGATGGAGCATTAGCATAGACATTGGCCTACAATATCATTTAAATTTTTGAGCTCAATATTGCCTCACGGATCAGCCGCATTAAAATTACCTGGAGATATATATATACTTTCAAGTTCCAACCCCAGAAATTGTGAGGCTTAGTAAATCTAGAAATATTTGTTTTGAAAAAGTTCCTTGGGAGATTCTGACATGATTTTATTTTATTTTTTTTTTTTTTTTTTTTATCTCTGACATGATTTTATGTTTGAAAACAAATAACCATTCTGAATCTTTTCATTAGATAGGATAGGAAACATTATCAAACAAACCACAAATAGTAGAGCTAAGAATTTAACATGTATCTGAATTTAACAGGATGAGTATAAATGTTCTCATTTTTTAAACATAAATTTTATTTATGGGGCTATTAAAAGTGACAGTGATGAAAGTGAATATGCAAGCTGTGTGTTTACAAGTATGCAGACATACACATTTATAAACACACAAGCATTATAGTGCTTGTGCAAAGTTACACATGATTAATTTCTAAACTATATGGAAGAATTGGGATTTGTGATCTTACATTTTCCCAGTGATAAAAAAAAAGAAATATATTCTAAAGTGTCTTCCCGCTGATTCATATTAAGGACAAGGGTTCCAGCTTGGTGAGCCCTTTAAATAGCTACTTTTTCAATTACAATTTTCAAGTAGACATTGCTAAACATAGCTTTGATACAATGCCAAAAAAATCCAAATAGTAATTATTGTATTGCAATGTTTTCTTTTTATTAGAGATATTTATTTGTATTTATTTTCATAAAACTTAAAAAGCATAGTAAGGGCCAAGTGTTGTGGCTCATGCCTGTAATCCTAGCACTTTGGGAGTCCAAGGCAGGAGGATTGCTTGAGCCCAGGAGTTCAAGACCAGCCTGGGCAACACAGCAAGATTCCATCTCCACAAAAATATTTTCTAAATGAGCCAGATGTGGTAGCGCATTCATAGCTACTTGAGAGGCTGAGGTAAAAGGATCACTTGACCCCAGGAGTTCGAAGTTACAGTGACCTATGATGAAGCCACTGCACTCCAGACTGGGTGACAGAGCAAGACACTGTCTCAAGGAAACAAAAAAGTATAATAACCTTTTGTGTCCAAAGTAGTAAAGGCCATTTAAAAGAATAAAAAGAGTTTTCCTGGAGTAAAACTGGATTTTGTCAGTTTATTTTTCAATTTTGAAAGTTTCTATCTCTGGAGTGCTTCAATTTTCTCTCTACAATCACTGATATCTAGTGACAATTCTTATTGTTTCAATTTTTCCTCCTCTGCAGACAGCCCCCAAATCCAAACTGCATGCCAAAAATTGATTCCAAATACCCATTGTGCTGAAGGGTTCTCTACTCCTGGTTAAACCACCATCCTGCACATATACAGCTAATACCTCTAGATTTCTTACAGTTTTCTCTATTTATTGTCTCTAGTTTTTCTGGGATTTAACTTGAGGGAGAAAGTCAGCATTCCTCAGAATTCAGCATCTTGTTCAGGACCAGACTCTGGTTTTTTATTCCTTCAGTTTTCTGTTTCTTGCTCAAAATTTCAGGACTTTCTTTTAAGCACTGAAACAAACATATTAATTATACTTATTTTATATTCCACATCTAAAAATTCAAAAATCCAAAGTCTTTATGAAACTGATTCTGATCACTTTTGTTTCTACTTTGTTCTTCCTCATAGTAGCTGTATTTCTTTGTGTGTTGTTGTGATTTTGGACTGTGATTTGCTCATTCCCTTAAAACTTTACCTGTGGGATTGTTTGAACCCTGACATAAAGTTACATTCATCTATATAGGATTTGAATTTTGTTTGTCTAAGTCATTTAGAGGCACTATCAAAGTCTTTCAAAGCAACACTTAATGCAAAAGGGCACAATGGAGTATTACTTTCAAAAAATTGAAGAAAATTACTTCGAACCTATATTTTTATCCAGTAAAGTGGTAATTTAAATGTAAGGATGTGATAAAACTTCTCAGGTATGTAAAGCCTCAGAAGTTAGTCACACAAGTGAAGATATTTGAGTGTAAGATGCTGCCTCTAAATGAATTATTTTTCTTTTTCACTTCATCAGTTTCTCTATCTCCCCTTTTTTCTTTATTCCCTTATTGTTTTCTCCCATCACCTTTGAATATATTTTTCTTTTTGCATTTTATTCACTTTATCTCCCAATCCACCACAAAGAGATGATTAATATAATTCTGCAAAGAATATATTTCACAAGTTATAGCCAATGCTTACAAAATATTTTACATGTATGTATAAGTTTGTGTGTGTGTATGCACATTAGTATCAACAAGTCTATCTTTTATTATGACACTTATAATATATAGTATTCTTTCTCCCTTAGTTACCTTTCATATCCATCATACAGAAATATTAGGTACAAAGTGAAGCTACATAAATCTTGACTCATTATAGAGTTATTAAGTTGCTAAGCCTTCCAATAACATTTATTTTTCTAATATCAGAGTTGATGCTTTCTTTTGAAGCTTTTCTGAGCTCCAGTTTCTGCCCTGAACGCTAAACCAGATGTTGCCATTTAATGTCATCATGATTAGAAGAGTAATGGAATTTTCTGTCCTTTGGGAAACTGAAAATCCCGAGAGAAAAAAACTCTGTTTTCTTAACATGCATTAAAAGTCTTCTTTATTACTGAAAAAAGAATGGTGACATTTACATTTATTAATAAGATAACAAATTTATTATACAACAAGAAGCTTCAGAGGGCCATCTTATATAATTTTCTACATGTCAGATGCAACTCAAATTTCCTATGTATGTCAGATGCTATTTTGCTAGTATTATAATGAGGACCTTCTTATCACACAATGTTTTCCAACAGATTGTCCTTTGAATGTGTTAAAATTATTGATTTTTGAATAACAATTTGGTAATTCATAACCTTGCTGAACATATTGGTAAGAAAATAGCATTTATGGCTCTGATTTTTTAAGTATATAATCATATTTAGGGCAAATATTAATATTTTATTTCTTCTTTTCTAGCATTTATAGCTTTTATTTTTATTTTTATCTAATTTTATTGGTTAACACTAAAAGAACAAAATTATTTGATGCATAGACTAATAACATTTTCAGGTTTCTAACATTTAAGAGTTTGCTTCTAGGCCGGGCGCGGTGGCTCACGCCTGTAATCCTAGCACTCTGGGAGGCCGAGGCGGGTGGATTGCTCAAAGTCAGGAGTTCAAAACCAGCCTGAGCGAGACCCCGTCTCTACCATAAAAATAGAAAGAAATTAATTGGCCAACTAATATATATAATATAAAAATCAGCCGGGCATGGTGGCTCGTGCCTGTAGTCCCAGCTACTCGGGAGGCTGAGGCAGGAGGATTGCTTGAGCCCAGGAGTTTGAGGTTGCTGTGAGCTAGTCTGATGCCACGGCACTCACTCTAGCCTAGGCAAGAAAGCGAGACTCTGTCTCAAAAAAAAAAAAAAAAAAAAAGAGTTTGCTTCTAGTATGGCTAATGTGTTTACTTTTTTAATTGATTTTATAACAAGGGAATATCCTATAAATGGGAACACTAAGTATGTGTTCATACATAAAATATACATATACATATGCACATTTTTCTATATAAGCAAGCATGAAATCATTTTAATTAGACAACTAATCATAGAATAAGTAGTGACTATGTCAAAAACAGTAAGTGCTAATTGATAACCTCCAATGGGGAAACAAAGAGAATAGAGGTCCAACTGCTGATTAACCTAAGCAATCAGATCCAGTGACTAAACAGAATTGGGCTTTGAAAATTCCAAGGTAATAAATTAAACAAATCATCCTAAAGAAGAATACGGATTGCTCAGATTTGATTTCTCATTCCTTGAGAGAAGAATCCTCTATGTGTACACACTAACTATAATGAAGCATTAATAAGTCAGGTATAAAATATAAAATGACAGGTCAATGATTTATGTGATATTGAGCAAGAAAATGAAATTATGGAATAAGTCAGAGAGAAGTTATAGTTTTCAAAGGGTTGAACAATTTAAGTGAAAGAAGTAGACTTAAAGATACTATTTATATAACAAGCAATGTAACTCTACAAAGCACCCCTAGCCTTATCAGTAACTTTAGAAACCATATCAGAATGATTTCCTGAAAAGAATCAATCCTAATCTCTTTTTAACTAATTGATTCTAATATTTTTCTTTAACATCTTTTCTTTCACTGGATTCCTTTTTAATGGTATCTTGAGTCAGGTACTTACATGATTATTTTAAATTTTTTCTTGTTTCATAATAAAAGCAGTTTGGTGTCTTCTGGAGACATAAAATAGGGCGCTGTCAACCTTACTTGGGAGAAGAAAAGACACTTCATAGAGCAGGCAATGCTTAAAGTTAACTATAAAGGTCAAAAAGGAATTCACTATGTAAGGACATACAAAGAGAAAGAAACATCGCAGAGAAAAGCCAAACTGCAAAACTACAGAAATATTCATAGGAAGACACCTCATCAAGACTGTGCCATGCTTAAAAATTTGCACTTTATTCTGAAGACAGTGGTGAGCTGCCTAAGAAGTTTAAGCAGAAAGGAAAGTTATCATGTTTACATATTAAGAAGATTCCTCACATCCACATTCATGATCTTACCTCTTAAATCAATATCCACTTTTGGAAATGAATACATAACCTTCAACATGCCTAGAGAGGATAAGATAAAGTACTTTGTGCAGTTTTCTCTCAATCCACTACAATTAGAATTT